CCTTGGAATTACCAGAGCTTTCAAAGTTCCTCGTGTGTTCGTTCACCTTTGAAGTGGAGAGGAAGGGATTTGCTCTTTTTATTACGATTTTTTTTTAATTCAACTTTCCATAGATATTTCTGTCTTTAAAAGAAGTATTGACAAACTGGTAGTTTGGGGGATTAATGTTGTCTTAGCATCTTTCCAACTTGGTTGTTACTTATATCCTCTTTTGCTAAATTACTGACTCAATCTCTCCCGACAAAATGCCCCTTTTTTCACAAATGAAGTTAAGAATAATTACAAAATACAGCTGTAAGAAAAGAGACCCTTTGTGCCATTTCTCTGTATGACTGACGCAATGTTTTGCACAGCTGTAAATACCCTTACCTGCTTCCAATGCTGCTCTTCATTTCTATTTACTATACGCAAAAGTGGATCTCCACTTCATGAGAGAAAACACATCTCCATGCTGTCTCATGCTGCTGTTTTGCTGGCATCTCTAGCTGGCTACCTGAACATAGAGCTTATGTAACACAGAAGAGTCCAGAAACATTTCCATCCCTCTCTGTTACCAAAATAAGGAATTTCACCCCACGAATTACTTTGGTGTGGTGCCCAGAAGAGGTAAAATTCAATCCTAGCTGTGTTTTTTCTACATATCAAGAAATGATTTAAAAGCTTCTCTAGTGAAACTCCTGAGCTGAAAAAGGAATGAGATCTCTCTGAAGCATTCACCACTCATTCTTAACCCTTAGAGAACCTAGGAGAACAGTCTTCATAAATGTAAGAGGTCATCTTAAGATTACACTAGTAATTTCCATGACTTTTAATGACCTTACAGAATTGGATAAATGTAGTAAAGCATCTGCTATGTAGGTAGAGAAATAGAATTACCCAATTTAAAAAAATCCATAAATTATTTCTCTGTAAAAGGAGGGGAAGAGAGGCAAGAATTTATAGGGGTTATCTTTTCATGAGACCCACCAATATGAGAATAAACCAAATGCAGAATACAAAGAAACCATTTCTTATTTGGGTCAAAATGGATTTTTTTCCAGGTGGTTGAAGTAGCCTGAAGTCTGCTAGTTTCCTTAGAGCAGCAGCAGGGAACAGTTAGGTTTAACAGTACTAACATTTCATGGATTTAATAATGGGAGGGAAAAATCATTAGCTCTGCAATATGCAGACTACCTAGTGCAGAAAAGACAAAGCAGGCCAGTTTCCAGACTTACATTACTTAGAGTTTTACATTTATAAAAAGTCAGCATTGTAAATCTGTAGGAGCAAAGAGACTTAGTAGTCAGAGAGCAAGCTTTCCTCTATGGAAGACTATAGTACTTCAACTACTACTGGGAAAAGGGGAAGAAGGAGCTCAAAGATAGTACAGGTATTTTCTCCTTATTACAAAGTTGGTTACATGAAATAGCCTCTTGAACTTCTAAACACCTGATGTAACAGACTAGATGGTGGGCACAAAATTCCCCTTCCCCCATGTTAAATAAAGATACAATGAACTCATGTTTTTCATATCTTACGCGTTCTGTTTTGTTATAATAAATGATTCCTTACAGTCAATATTCTAAAATTAATCAGATAAAAATGTTCAAGTCCACAGTACTGAAAACAAGCAGAAATTCAGCTTTAGGAATACATCGAGATCTGTATATAAAGCACAAATCTTAGACCAAATCCATGCTACTATACCAGTTGAGGTTTCATACAGCAATGAGATAATCAAAAAGTATGAAACAAAATTTGTGAAGTACTTACATATTACTATTTGTGTACATTTCAGAATGTAAGGAGGTTTTACAAACACTTTAAGAAAAAGTATTTTCTTTAGGATCATGGCAAATTTGATATTTAAGCAGAGGCATTAAGTACTTACCACCACCAGCATTTTCTTCTCTGCGGCTACGTGCACTGCCATCCCTGCCAGATTTAATGCGCTGCAGAACAGTGAAAAAGGTTTGAAAAGAACAGAACAAAAACCCCATTTAGTAATGTACATTAGAGATAATTACTGAAAACTCAACTTAGCTTATTAATAAACAGTAGAAGAACATTAAACTAGGCTTACTATACTGTAACTAATAAACCTTGTTTTTTCAATGCACAAAATTGTCCTTAAAATCCCTGTTAAATCCAATGTTTACCTAAAACAAAAGTTCTATGAAATTCAAACAGAGTATCTCAATAAATTATTTTTCTTCAGATAAAATTTATACAAGGAACGTACATAAAAATAGTTCAGATGTACCTTTGTAAACTACAGCTGAAAAAACAGGCAACAGAGCCCTCCTTGCACAAGTTCAAAGTAGCCTCTGCCTATTAACGTCTTGTAAATCCCACAAGCGTTTTATTACTGTAAAGATTCAAGGGGGGGAAATAGGGAAATCTATAAAAAGAACTATTCACCCCATAGATCTTAAATTTTGAATACTTGTCACAGTGCTGTACTTCACAGCAAAATTTAATTTGCTGTTGAGTGTTAAATGCAAGATAAAGGTGAAGGTAAATACTTTAAAAGCTGTGTTTAAAAAGTCAGCTCTTTTGCACTGAGGAAAGTACCATAAACATCTTCCAGCTGTGTTTTCTTTTTAGTGATATTTGAAAACTTCAACAGTTTATCAAAGCAATACCTCTGTATCACATGGCAGACTTGGCCTCTCCTGGCAAACCACCAAATTTCTCATGCACGTATCTTATCAGTTACAAGAAGGTACATCTCAATAAGGGACTTTTCGGTGGGTAGGTACAAAAGCTTGGTGTTTAAAGCACTCAGCTCTTAATAAAGTAACCTCTGCATCTTATTTCAAAATATGAATTCAGGATCCGATTAGAAAACATGTACACACTACCTAACCATGTATTCAGGTCAATTACTGTAGCTTCTTCCCTCATTTTTCACCAGAAAAACATCATGGCGTATGGTAAAGTTGTAATGACACAGAAGAAGTGAAAGAACTTTCAAAGTTCATGCCAACGGAAAAAGGAAGAACCCTTAAATCAAAACTCACAGGAGTCAGACAGGAAAGCAGTGAGCCTAGCATGAAACCAGGAACGGTCTTGGAGTGATCCAGTCTGGGATAAGAATTTCTCATACTTTTTATTTATTTTGGGAAATCCTCAAGTCTGAAATATGTCTAAATCCTATTCACAGTCCAGTGAAGTAGCATATATCAGTCTTTCAGGAAGCATGTTCAGACTCTCCAAAAGTCTGCCAGTGGAAGCTCAGTTTCTGTCTGCCAGAGGGAAGTCGTCCGTGTATGATAGTGTCCTCATGGCATTTACATCCTAGGACTTCACTCCTGGAATATTATAGAAGTACTACAGCTTAAGCATATGACTAATTCCTGTACAGTTTCAAGCGAGTACTTTGTAAGTCATCCCATACTAAAACCAGACGCTTAAAATAGGTCATAGAATCATAGAATGGTTTGGGTTGGAAAGGACCTTAAAGATCAGGTCCAATGATTTCCACCCTAAAAATGCCTATTTCTCTCCCATGACTGCAAAAGAAATTTAGGATGACTAGTCCAGATGTAGATGCCTGGAGCTAAAGGCAGTAAGTCCCCCCCCAGTGTTTGCACCTATCATCACTGCTTCACACCACAGCCAATCAGTTCCTCGTTTTCAGTCATTAAGCGCACTTAACTGAAATAGAGAGTAGTGTGTGTATACATCAGTGCCAAGAAGGTTGTGTGAACTTTCACACTATTACCTGTCTTTTTTAAACTGAAACATGAAAAAGGAAGATTAATGCAGAAATAAGGAAAAAAAAAACAAAAACAAAAACAACATATGAATGTTACAGTAAAAATCCAGTACTGTAAGAGGCAGGGAGAAAAAATTTCTACAGGGAATTAACCCCACAGATGTTCCCAGATTCTTGGCTGGAAGTATTTAACAACTTGTCCATATTTGAGAACTGAATGAAATAAGTACTACAGATTATTTATTTTGGTATAAACTCCATGTGGATATACTTATTCTGGAAAAACAACGCCAGAATAGCAAATTTTGATAAATCTCTACAGGAAGACAGTCTGTGTGCAAACTTTGAAAGGTACGTATAACACTAGCATTTATCTATTTTCTCTTTACTGGATGCAATCAAGAAATCACGGGTTAGTCTGAAATTGGGAGCAGGAATTGAACTGTATCTGGTATTGCTAACTGAAACCAGTGTTCCTATTGGAAACTTAGGTGGTGAAATATTAAAATCTGCTAATTTTAGAACTTGAAAGTACAGTTTATGACTATATGCCCATGGATGACAGAAGAATTTCTTAGCACAAAAATACCTAGTAATTTCCAAAACCAGATGGTAGACATAAGACTAAAAAAACCACACACACACAAACCAACCAAGCAAAAAAAAAAAAAAAATTCCCCAAACCCAAATCCAGGGGATGGGAACCCAGATGTAATGCCAATAGCAAAAAGTAACTGCAGGGCTATTGTTTGCAAGACAGCACTGATGTTGAGATTCTGACACAGAGAGACACTCAACTTCTAATAAACGACAGCAGCATACTAAAAATTGCAGTGTGTTCTATAACATCTTTCTTACTCTTTTTTTCCTTTACATCTACAATGGTGCTGATTTTTAAGAAAACTGCGTCAGTGTGTTCCTTGGGGGGCAGAAAAAGTTGTTCCTTTCCTTGAGGAGGCACTGAACTTGGGAGATTTCAGAGTGTGGCAGACAACACAGCCAAAAGAGGGAGATGAAAGCATGTCCTCCCATGACAAGGAGCTGCAAGAAGGAGCAGAAAGCAACCCATCAAGCTTCAGAGGTTCTGAAGAGAATCTACTAGGAACCACAGTGGCAGAATTCTGCATTCAGAAACTCACTGAGTTTACTCAACCTGGAAGCACAGGCCTACCTGCAGGGATGAAGTTAACAGAGCTGACTAGAAACCTGGTTTATTTTTATTGGTGGTGGTGGTTTTGAGGGGTTGGGGCAAGGGGTGAGGGTGTTGTTTGGTTTTGGGTTCTTTTTTTTTTTTTTTTTTTTTTAAAGTATAGAATCACAGAACGGTTTGGGTTGGAAAGGACCTTAAAGAACATCAAGTTCCAACCCCCCTGCCATGGGCAGGGACACCTCCCACTAGCCCAGGTTGCTCAAAGCCTCATCCAGCCTGGCCTTGAATAACTCCAGGGATGGGGCATCCACAGCTTCTCTGGGCAACCTGTCCCAGTGTCTCACCACCCTCACAGTGAAAGATGTGTTCCTAATATCTAATCTAAATCTGCCCTCTTTCAGTTTATTGCATTCGTGCTTAGCTTATTCCATTTCAGCTTAGTGCATTCCAGTTTTTTAAAAGAAAATTGTTTTAGTTTAAATTACAATAGAATCAGGATTATTTGAATTTAAAAGCCTGTTTTCTTTTCTGGGCAACATGCTATAGGAATATATTTAGGCAGATCTACTTTAAAGCTTTGACTAATTAGAAGTGCCATCACAGATACCTTATTCTTCTCTCTAATCCGTTCTCATGAGACCCCGCCTGGAGTACTGCATCCAGATCTGTCATCCCCAATACAGGAAAGACATGGACCTGTTAGAGGAGAGCCATGCAATTGATCAGAGCACCTCTCCTATGCAGAAAGGCTGAGAGAGTTGAGGTTGTTCAGCCTAGAGAAGAGAAGGCTCCAGAGACACCTTATTGCAACCTTGCAGTACTTCAAGGGGGCCTACAGGAGAGATGGAGAGGCACTCTTTATCAGGGTGTGTAGTGATATGATGAAGGGTAATAGTTTTAAGCTGAAAGAGGGTAGATTTAGATTAGATATTAGGCAGACATGTTTTACCAGGTTGAATGAGGCTTTGAGCAACCTGATCTAGTGGAATGTATTCCTGCCCATGGCAGGGGGTTGGAACTAGATGATCTTTAAGATCCCTTACAACCCAAACCATTCTATAATACTATGAAATAAATTATTCAGGTTAGTGCCAATTTTTAAACTGAAAAAAAAAATTCCATGGAAAAGCTACAGGCTGTGAAAGGTATGAGATATAACTTGTGTTCTATTCAGCAGAGAGAATGTATGTGTGCACACGTGTGCATTGTTTTCTTGCTATTCCTGGACTCCAGAGCTGGACGTAATACTCCAGGTGGGGTCTCACTAGAGCAGAGTAGAGGGGGAGAATCACTTCCCTCAACCTGCTGGTCACACTTCTATTGATGCAGCCCAGGACACGGTTGGCTTTCTGGGCTGCAAGTGCTCATTGCCAGGTCACGCTGAGCTCCTCATCTACCAGCACCCCCAAGTCCTTCTCTTCAGGGCTGCTCTCAAGCCATTCTCTGCCCAGCCTGTATTTGTGCTTGGGGTCGCCCTGACCCATGTGCAGGACCTTGCACTTGGCTTTTTGTCTCTGTGACACCAATGACATTGTAGCCCTGCAGGCGTGTCCCTGTCTCTAACTTCTCTTGTTTATTCCCCATGCTAAGTGCATTTGTATAGAGACACTTAAGTTGGGCCCCTGATGAAGATGACTTACTGGCTG